CCCAAAACCCCAAAACCCCAAAACCCCAAAACCCCAAAACCCCTACACTCTTGTCTTAAAATGAAATGCAGTTAGAAAATAATAATTCATATTAAAAATAAATAAAATGGCTGAATACGGGCAATTACCTGAGGTCAATAAGAGCCAAGGGAAATGGAGCAGCAGGTACATTCACATGTCCTTCATTCAAGATCTGGTCTGACCACTTTTGAGGGGTTTAAAGAAATTTTAATTTGAATGATAAATGATTTCAAATATAGGACTCCAGTAAGAAGCTCTGATAACAACAAAAGCGTCATGAGCAATGTAATTATGGATTATAATTAATAGAGTAAAAAGAGTAGAAATTATGAAAATTGCAATCGAACCATCACCAACCCTGATAGAGCATATCAACTCAGAGAAGCTGAAAGTAAACTATTTTGTTTTTTCTGTTAATCTAACTTTCAACCTTTAGAGGAGCTCAAAAACTCAGTCTCAGCCATAATCAAGGAAAAAACTAAATAATGGTAACAATACACTTCAGTTTTACTTTAAATTTTCATGCAATTTCTTAATTTCTGATGTAGACGGGAAAATGAAAATTCAGGATTCGTACAACCCACTGTTCAAACCTCATGTCTACTGTAAGAAGTGGATAAAGGAGAAGATACCCAATATGTATGATATTATCAAGAAGAGAGCAATGCAAACTCCAAGTCCTGACAAATACTCTAAAGTAGAGTCGATGAAAGTGCCCCAATTTTATGCAGGGTTTTCCAAAGTCAAAAAGTAACTAAACTTTATAACCTTCAGAGTGACTTATATTGATTCGATAATGGCAGAGAAAAAGAAAATCCCTGCTCCGAACAGTTATAAGCCAAATTACCCAAAATCAAAATGAACTTTGTTCGTCTCAAAGGCTAAAGGAGGGAACGCTTTCATCGATTCTGCAACTTTCAAAGGACAGCAGACCCCTGGCATCCAAAATGTCAAATATGTATTCATGTGCCTGATTTCTTTAGAAAAGTGTAGAAAAGAAGCCATATGAGCTTAAGATAACCAAGACTAAGAGAGGAAGCTTTCTAGACCCGATTACAAAGAATAAGGTAAGGCTTTGCTAATTCTTGTAGAAAAACCCAGGAGCTTGCTCTTACAAAGTAATGGAATCCTACGACGCTACTCAGAAGAAGAAGACTTCACTCTTCCTACCAAAAGAAAGAAGAAAGACAGTGACTGATGAAATACTTCAGAGAAAGAAAAGCGTGCCTGGAGTCGGCAAGTATATTGATTCCAGTAAAGGCAAAGGTAAAAGTGCAGGCTTACTCTTTAGACATTTACAGCTTGATAAGTAAAAGAACCTTCGTGAGAAAAGGTAGATTTGGCTAAAAGATCAGTTGATTAAGAATTCATGTTTCTTATTCACATATTTTCAAAATTATATCTAATTGAAGGGGTTTTGGGGTTTTGGGGTTTTGGGGTTTTGGGG